TGTTATAAAAAAAATATATATATATATATATATATATATATATATATATATATATATATATAATTACAAAATATTTTGGAATCTAAATTTGCTATAAAATCAAAGTAATATGTTTAAGTTATGTTTCAAATTTGAATCACAAATATTCCAAAAAAAAAATGGTGACAACCAAACTACACTGAATTTTCCTGTCACAAATTTATACATTACTGTCACAATATTACTTCACCAAATATGAAACTCTTGAATGACTCTTTGAGAAGCCTTTCCGACAATGTGTTTTGTCAAGATTAGAAAAGGTTTGATTATGAAATATGAGCTGCTGAAAGAATTAAAATACCATTTCCATGGTAACGCAATGTCGAAATAGTTTTACAGGATGAATTTTGATAGAGCCCTGCATTTTAGCCTGAGCCCGACGGGCCCCAACTTATTTACGCCCCTAGGGCCGGGCTTCGGGCCAATTTTCCCATCATATCTCAGATGCGGGCCAGTCATCAGGCCTGTTTTTAGGCTTCTTCTTATTTTTATATTTTAGGCATCCATCAGTTATGGTGATGAAAAAAAATTGCCGTGCTGGTGGAAACAACATGAGACCGTGTTACCGCGACTGTCAAGAGCGGCTCTGACGGTGTTTATTGTCCCGCCAGCAGCAGGAAGTGATCCACGTTCAAAGTTAAATGACTAAAGTAGTAATTTAAAGCTTTCTATAGATATATTTATCATGTCTGTGAGGCAAGTATTCGCTGAGTTTCGGTTCATCATTGTGAAGTGCTCTTGTTCAAGACCGAGACGGCAGAAAATCCTGTTTGTTTTCTTTATTTTACAAAAGCATAACGTTTTGTTGATATTGTGAGTGCACACAAATAAAAGTAGACCCTTTACAGTTTCAAATGATGTATTACCACCTTTATGAGCAAAAATGACTGCATATATTAAGTTGTTTCCACTGTTAAGAAAAAAAATGCAAGTGATCGCGTTGGCGCCTCCATGTCCTGTAAAGCACGCTTTAGCTTCCACTCTCCACACAAACGATTGGATACGCGTCTAACAGTGCACATTTATGTGGGTTAAACATTTAAACTAACACAGGGATATGCTTGAAGTGTTTTAAATCTATAGATTTCATTTTAGGCAAGTGGTGATGATGATTTGAGAAGGCTAAATTGATCAAACATTGGCTATGATCAACTCACTGTCTGCCACTGGCCGCTTGGCCGTTACTTTAAAAAACAAAAACTTGAATTTAAGAAACAAAAAATGTTCCAAACATATTTCTAAATTAACTTAATAAAGAAACGAAAAGAAATATAACCACTTTGCCATTAAAAACAAAACTGAACTATTTTAATGGCTGCAACAGCAGCTGTGTAATGGGGAAGAGAGAAAAAAGACACAGGCTTTGAAAAGGAGGCTGAGACTTAAAATTCTGTTTCTGCTCTGAACACACCAAAAACGCAGTATCTGAACCCTGAGGCGATTGCACAGTTGCTACTGTATACTCTCAGTGCACTTGAGTGTCCCGCCCCCACACTCTTCTGATTGGACCATTGGTGTAAATCTGACATTGATGCCCTGCGCAACAAAACTTGAGAACTATTTTTAACATGACAAGCCATTTTCTAAACTCAAGAAAGGAAAA